GTACTACCAAAACCTGTTAATCCTGGAGATTTCCCTATGGAATTCCCAGCGTGATAGTGCTGCGGTTGACTTCCGGAAGCCGTGTCATGGTGCGCAGTGCTGCTGTGGCCTTCTCTCTCCACACTTCCAACCAGTCCAGGTTCCAATCTGGGGATTGGCCGAGCCACATTTCCATTGTTGTGCAAGATTTCTGTTTCTTGATCAGATTGTATTGGCTTCGAGCTTGAGTCAGAGGCATCGGAGTGGTCATGATCCATGTCGAGTGAGCAGTGTCGAAGCTAGGTTGCAGCTCAATGCTGTAGCAATTTACATGTACGGATGGCCCCACACCCAAAGCCGCAATCTTATCTGTTTATCAATTGACTAGTGCCATCAGTACTCCGTACAGAGAGAGTATCTAGCTAGTATGGAAGTACGGAATACAGAATAGGTAATACCTACTAATACCGGAGTGCAGGTTTGTTCTTCTCTATTTTGACGGACAGTATAGATGCACCTAGGATATCGCATATTCTGTCTCGGGCTTAGACGGTGGACCCGTCTTCGATTACTACAGAATTAGGTCTCAAGTTGCTTGGGAGAGTGATTGCCTGATTAAGCAGGTCTTCGTATCTGCGCTTGGCTCCCGTCAATTCCAGAGCACCGGCTACTACCGGATTCCAGCGAGGGAATGAGATAGAAAGTTGAGGTGGGCTAGAGGGAGAGTAGAGAACGCGAAGAAGAGAGGAAGTATAGACTGAGATACCTTGTCTGGTCTTTGACTCGCCAAACTGAGCAAGATGCTGCTACGCGGTAGCAGCTAATGGAATTCAGGTAGTTGGTTCTTCACAAGCAGCGTTCTTTGATTTTAAATACCTGAATTCTGAGGTCTGATACGCGGACTACCTAGCCGGATACTCCAGATGATAACCACTAGTAAGCCCCGATATCCGCTCCGGCGCGAGCAAGAGTCTCATAGACTCTCGGCGGTAATTTGTACTTGACCATGCCGGAGAAGATCATCAGATCCTTGGCCATGACGAGTAATTCATCAGCTAGGCCTTGCCTGGTCTCGTTCTCATACACTCCAGAACTCAACCTTGCTCTTTCATGGCCAATGCACGTAATACTCCACATTATCACATGCCCCACGTTACGTGCAATGATTGGAGGGAAAGACGAGAAAGCTTGAGCAGCACTTCGAATGAAGGAAACCGAGCCTCTTGCACGCAAGGGTAAGATGTTCAGTTCATTGATAGCCTGAGGGAGAGTTAATCAGTGGAAGAGAACGAGGACGACGTGTGGAAGTGAAAAGGGGCGAGACTTACATCCAAAGCCGGCGTCCATTGGCCTGCTTCAACTTCTGCCTTCGCCTCCATCATTCTAAGCAACAAACCGCAGGCATCGCGGTTGATCTGACGGATTCGCTGGTAATAAAGAGCGTTCGTATTGTAGAGGCCAATCATATTCTTCGCTAGAACCACCGGATCATCCACTGCTGTAAGACTTAGGCTACTTCCAGGTTCCGCGGCCTCTCCATGCTCATCACTGACATGCTGTTGTAGATCAGTTCGTGGCCGCAACGGCTGGAGCTTCAAACCAGGGCCCCCTAACTCCATTGCTACAGCATCCGACAGTGCTCGGTTGATGATGTCGATTACGCGGTCGTAATCCTCAGCAAGGTGATACAAGAGGACCGCATCCGTTACCAGCCCTTTGTCATCCGCGATCGCAGCAGCTTGTGTTGTTATGGTTTTCAAAAATTCTCCTTGATCGACCAGTTTGATCAAGCTCATGCGCTGCTCAATCAAACCCTTAATTCGAGTCCCGTCCGAGCGGATGTCACCAAGTAATTTGGCAAAATCCCTCGTCTCTAGAACAAATTCCCGCAATGCTTCGTGACACACGGATGCTTGAGATTTGCCCAGAGAACCTGGGAGGTCCGCGTTAAGACAGAGCAAGCAAAAGTAATCGATCGCTGCCTCAACATATCCAGTACGAAACTCCCTTGTGTACTGGGTGATGAGATGTCCGAAATTGATTTGGGGATACTGTTTCACAGTAAATGATACTAATTTTGTCAGTAGACGTCACAGGGAAGTATGAAGCTTGGGAAGAAATGCTTACAAATTTCTTCCGCAGATGTGTAGAAGTCTGACACGCGTAGCAGACCATAGTACGCCAAGGCGATTGCGAAATGCACCGCACTGACTGGCGCATAAGAGCCGAGGTATGAAACTGCCTGTTCGAACATCCCTCCTAAAATCTGCAGTAGAAAGAAAATGCCGTAACCACCGGATGCCTCCTGGCCCTTGCCAAAAATGCGCTGACCGATCTCGGCGATATCCGTCTGGATATCCTCGAGGCCAAAAACATCCCCAGCAATTTCTTCAGCACGGTCATCTTCTCTGGCCAGACTGAATTGAAGCCACATCCAATCTTCCACACTCTGATTTATGCCCTCCAGGCGTCTACGGGCTAGGTCGCACCGGCCAATGATCTTGTAGCAAGCCATGCGATATGGATCAACCGTGTTATCTGGGGCATTGCGTGAACGCTGTTGATATTCACCATTGATCTTTTGCTGCAAATCTCGCGGTAGCCGTCTGTTTTGTGCATAAGTCGTCATATATGTCACGAATTTGTGATCAAGGGACCGGAAGCCAGGATCTTGGCTAACATATTCAGCCGCTTCAGTGATGAATCCGCACCGAAGAAGATAGAATATCAAAATCCAGCAATAATCCTGCCCGACCATCTGTAGCTCAGTTCCGTCCGGTGCAAGGTCTTTCCTTGCCGCCCTCAAGCGAATATAGGCTCGAATTTTGTTGATAACCGTCGGAATTCCTCCAAGTTGCGCCTCTCGAGGATTCTTTGCGATCATATTCTCGACTTCGTTGTAAAATACTTTCTCTAGAAAGGAACGAGAGCCCTCGACTATGCGTTTTTTGAGGTTCGTTGCCCGGCGTGAGTTTGGTGTCTCGTCCAGATAATCCTCAGAGAACTGTCGCTCTCTCACCGTACTAGGATCCGAGGGACTGGCGGTGCTCGGGGGCTCTTTGACGATACTGATCAAAGCTCGGTACGCATCAAAAAGCTGGCAAGGTACCTAATAAAATTAGTCGACCTTGGATCATGGCTGTATCACCGTAACTTACATCACCACCAGCATGCCGCTCCACTTCGGAAAATTCATGAAGAAGCGGAAAAACTTGCCCTTGAATCCGGGCAGAATTTAACAGCTGAACTTTGTCCGCGTAATGGCCCATTTTTTCGCGCAAAAATCGAAGATCCGGGGAGTGAGTTCCAGATGCATCGCTGCGTTCCAGGGGATCCTCGAAAAGCTGATGACTTGCTCTCCCAGTTCCAGGGTTGCCTATGACTGACTTTCCCAGGCCGGAACGTCCGAAAACACTCCGGCGGGAGACGCCCGCACCTTCGTAGGACGGTAAAGAACCAGTTAGTTTAGAAGGTCTCGTTGAGCGACCGAATGAATTCCTCATGTCGCCAACAGTGCCATCCTTATGTGCCAGTCCAAAGTGCTGAAAGATTCTCTGGCGCTGATCCTCCCAGTCTAAATCCACCTTCTCCTCCAAGAATGTATCAAAGTCTCTCTGAGCCCGAGCAAGACTTTCGGCAAACATCACTTTACGCCCACGCTGTTGTATGCTTCTCAAGAATTTCTGGGTGTCGGGGTCAAAAACCTCATGTTCTTTTGGAGGGAGACCTATTGAAGCCTGGGGATCTAGTGCTTTGAGGTCCCGTAAAGCATGTCCAGGCGACACGCCCGAAGCGGCAAGAAGATAGTGGCTATGGAAGATAGAGATCAGCGGAATGATCCAAATCATGACCCAGGCAAAGGCAAAGCTTACGCTTTACTGGTCGAAGCAGGATGCAGGGGGTCGTTCAACCCTCTACTGCCGAGTTCTCTTGCTTTCCTCCGAATGTCATCGAGGCCTAGTTGAAGGCTGGGTAACTCTTCGAAATTGCTGCCTTGGCCAACTGAAGCAATTGGTCTCTTTTTGCCGCGCTCTAGGAGGCTGTTGAAGAATGCGGGCTGAGTAGTTTGGCCAGAAGGTCGCAAGGATTGTCCCGAACTCATCTGTGCTTGATCTTGTCCAAAGATCGAGGACTGAAGGGGCTGTTGCTGGGTTGGCGGCTGATTACCAAAGAGCGAAGCATTCGGTGCAGCTTGAGTTGTGGAAGGAGTCCCAAAAATACTCGTTGAATTGGCAGCCGAAGCTGAGCTCGCCGGTTGAGTTGCGGTTCCTAGGCCACCAGCTCCAAATAAGGAGCCAGGGTTTGTTGCAGACATCGAAGCAATGTGCCGCGTTGGCTTGGTCTCGGATACGCGACGATGAATGAGCTTGATATTTTCGACAAGAACAGACTGAGCCGCAAACGGTGCTCATTCAATTCGGGCGATCTCTACCAAGGGTTAGAGCTGGTAATTGGCACTGGAAAATATATGAATGTGGGAAGCTCGCAGACTCATAAGAATGTGTGGAACAGAAGTAGATAAAAAGGAACAATGTAAATAACAAGAAACTAGCAAATTAAGATCTTACATCTGCTTGCTGGGCTTTCCAACTGCTAGAGCAGTTTGTGTTTACCAACTGTACAAAATATTGTACTTACCATAAATACGGTGAAAATGGCTTATTTGCTGCGCAACAAGCCATGTCGGAATTAATGTTTCACCGGTTGCTTAGATCTTAACTCTATTACCTCTATCCGGTAGATACTCTTGTCAACACTACGATATTTACAGAGGATAATTAAGGGAAACAATACTCCATATTTCTTCATCCTCTTGACTACCCACGCGCAAGGTGCCACGCTTGGACAGGAGGTTTAATTAAGTGAACACTTAGTGGTCAGCCTTCAATATGCCTGTTTTTCAGGCAAAAACATTCCGGCGTGCGACAACAGCCTCATCGTCGCTGGGAGAACGGATCGGCGCAGCATATAGAGGAAGCCTACCGAAGCATCCTTTTCTGCTCTTTGGTCTTCCATTCATCATGATCATCGTTGCGGGGTCTTTCGCCTTGACTCCAGCCGCCGCTTTAAGATATGAAAGATATGACCGAAAAGTGAAGCAACTCACACAAGAGGAAGCTATGGAGTTGGGGCTCAAAGGGGCAGATGGTGAAGAGGGAATTAGGAGAAATCCACGCAGAAGAGTTCTCGGAGATGAGAGGGAGGAATATTATGTGAGTTGACCTAATTCAGATGAGCTTGTCCTAAGGCTAACATTAACGCCTGTTCAAGCGGCTCATGGCCAAAGACCTGGATAATTGGGAACAAAAACGAGTCCAGAGGTTTAAGGGGGAACCTGATGGGAAACTTTAAGCTTCTTAATAGCTGAACAATGCCTTTCGAAGACAGGCGCTACTCTTACTGCTTTCCAGCAGGATATTTTTGACTACCAGGCTTATGTTAGCTGTGGCAGTCACAAGGAAACCACATTTGATGATGATATGAGTTTAATACCTAATCTTCATGCTGGTGAGAGGCCTTTATCTTTCCTGACTCTCTCATGTCTGATATGTCTAGAAGCTAACCCAATCCATTAGAGTATACCTCTCTATTCGTTCATCTTAGAACTCAAGCTAAGCAGGATAAATCACCTTATTTGCCATGGCATCCTTAGACCTCCATTTTCACGCTTAGTCGTTTTGAATCATGTATAAAGTGCTCATTATGGAATTCTATCATTCTATACTATATAGAGCGGTATACTTCACTAGTATAATCAAATGATAGTGTACGCGGAGACGTAAAAATCGGCATGATGTCCTCTAATACAGATTAAACATGCAATTACTTTATATACAAAGATGTTAGCCGCTGCTAGACGTAGGTTAGTAAGTAAAGTTATGCATACCTAGGTCTTTTGAACATCACACACAGTCAGACTAGACTAGCAACCAAAAGTAATCAATAAAAATATGATGATATTAGCCTGGCAGGTGACTATCGACTGCTGGACTGACAATGCACCCAGGGCTGACTACTACCAGAGAAGTACTACATTATTCTTTACCTGTTAGTTACCCTGCTTAAATCATGATGCAGTAACAGAAAACTGTAGGTAGTAATAAATTTCTCTCAGATGCTATTTGTGTCATGGCTCTATCGCTGAATAAGAATAATATGATTCCCAGCTATTCTGCTTTCTGATTAGGAACCCCTTTTTAAAAGCCTGATGATGCCTTGCCAGAGTTGCCACAGCATTGTTCCAGGTTTCTGAGGGGGCTCGTTGAAGATCCAGAACGGCCGTTCAGTCTCACTGCATGGATTTTCTGCATATTTTGCCGCTTGACGACTGTCCCCACCCATAACGTCATACCAAGGGTACATCTTTTCTCTGCCGAGTTTCTCAAACTCCATTCGCTATTTCCATGTCGGTCTGTTGTTCACCTCCTTATACCAGTTGTATTCATGATGGTAAACTGGTGCTAATCGACTAAGACCAATTCTTCTGCACGCATTTCAGCCTTAGCAGCCACATTATTAGAGACCTATGTGCCGAGTCTGGTGTTTCGTCACATATTGATTTCTCTCATGCGAGTCTTATAACCAGGTCAAACAAGCGTATGGCTAGACTCCAACCTGCCCATCTCGAAGCTCCCCCAATCCCGTTTCTCAAAATCTCGACGACGAAATCTTCTTATAATCTATTGGAGTCGTTTTCTTTGGATTTAATTACACTACATTGCCCCCCTCTAGTGCTGCTCTTCCGTCTTACTCAATACCTCTCCTGAACAAAACGCTTCCTGATATCAACACCTCTGTGGCGCCGAATTGGAACGAGCTTTACTTTACTCCCGACCTGCCATCATTCATCGACGAGATTCGGGCCTGAGGAAATAATGATCCGTGGTTACATCGAATACTCGAATTCGTATTGACATCTTACTGAAAAGAAATTGTCCTTGCGGAAGCTGGTGTCTTGCTTATTGTGGCATTCGAGATGGCACAAGGGCCTCGCGCTTGATTGTGGGACTGCCGGTATTCAGAGATTAACCAGCAGGCATTCTAGCTTTGGCAATCAACATGTCCACTACGGCTGACCAGAGACTATCACCTTCGTCCCCGTGGACTCAAGAGTCACAAAGCCTGCAGTTAAATGGTCTTTCAAGTCCAGCGTCTCTCTTGTCACTGCGGGATGCCAATTCGTCTCCCACCAAAAGTGGCGACGGCCTGCAAAATGCCTTTTTGGAGCAACCGAGCCCTAGCTATTTCACCATCAAGGTTGAGGACTCGCGTGACCGAACGGTTGCGAGAGAAGCGACCAATGCCAAGAACCATCGACATCCATCCTCATGGACCCAAAATTCGCACTTGAGCCGCAATGCGAATTTAATTGACACAGAAATTGTGGGAGGATCGGTAGATCTGTCTCAGGCTCGCTATGAGAATGACGAGAGTTTGCATAGAATGTCATTGAGCGGGGATTCGAAACAAAAGGATTCAATGGCCACTTATAACAACACTTCCTCGGGGAACTTGGCTCCGACTACTGTCAATATCATGTCATGTGAGCAATGCGCAGAATTATTGGAGACTTGTGGAAACGATGTTTTGTTACTAGATGTGCGGCCTTATGCACATTATGCCAGGGGACACATCAAGGGATCGCTAAACCTCTGTATCCCTACAACGCTCCTCAAACGGACTTCCTTTGACACGCGGAAGTTGGCCAACACCTTCACGAGCGACATTGACCGGAGATCGTTCTCGAGATGGAAACAATGCCGCTACATCGTCGTTTATGACGCTGCTACACTTGACATGAAAGATGCGGCGCCAATGATCAATATGTTGAACAAGTTTACAGCTGAGGGATGGAACGGTGAAGGTTCGATCCTTCGGGGTGGGTTCAAGGTCTTCTGCAATCAGTTTTATGCGCTTGTTCAGCAGCCTGAACCATTGAACCCTGGAGTATCTTCAAAGAAGCCTAATTCGATGCAGATTAGCCTTCCATCTTTTGCGCCTATAGCTGGTGGCTGTGCTTTGCCGGAGTCTTCCTCTGCCGCCATTCCCTTCTTTGGGAATATTCGCCAGCATATGGATCTTATGGGCGGTGTTGGTCAGATTCCGCTCCAGCTTCCACAGAATTTTACAGACTCCAAAAGACGATTGCTTCCACGATGGCTCCGTGACGCTTCCGACGTTGAAGATGGAGGTCAGAAGGTTTCAGAAAAGTTCCTGGAGCTCGAGAAGAAGGAATTAGACCGTATGAAACAAGCTCTATCATATGAAATGACCGGAGTTTCTACGTCTGCGGAAGCTCCGTCGAAGAAATATCGAGTTGCAGGGATCGAGAAGGGCAATAAGAACAGATATAATAATATCTATCCCTTCGATCATTCCAGGGTTCGGTTGCAGGATGTTCCATCAGGAGGTTGTGATTATGTGAACGCGAATTACATGAAGGCTGAATACAGCAATAAGCGCTACATAGCAACGCAAGCTCCCGTGCCCGAAACATTTGATGTAAGTTCATTTATCGATTGACGTCCTTCCTATTATCTACACCAAGTGAAGATGGCCCACGGTAAGATTGAGACAAGCAGGCTGATGGAAACATAGGACTTTTGGCGTGTAATCTGGGAGCAAGATGTTCGACTTGTCGTTTCTCTCACGGCAGAAATTGAAAGAGGCCAAGTTAAATGTCACCGGTATTGGGAGTCGGGGAATTATGGGCCTTTTCGAGTCAATAACTTTTCTGAACGGCGCATTCCTATGAAAGCGTCAGGGTCCCATCAGAACCAGCGTCAGTCAACCATGTCATTTTCGGATTCTAGCGAAGAGTCCAGTGATCCATGCATTATCGTCAGACATTTTGGCTTGTCACACTCGGCTTTCCCATTTCAACCACTGCGAGAAGTTACCCAGCTGCAATATCCCTATTGGCCGGATTTTGGTACTACCTCGCAACCATCACATCTCCTTCAGCTGGTCGATGAATGCAACGCAGTCATACGGGCAACAAGCAATACGTGCTTTGATAATCGCGAGGCAATGCCAACCGAACATCGACCTGTATTGGTGCATTGCAGTGCGGGATGCGGCCGTACTGGTACCTTCTGTACAGTGGATAGTGTTCTGGACATGCTAAAGCGGCAGCGCACTGCACGAAAGACCGAATCTCAAGAAATCAGTGAACGGCCTGATACTGGGTGGATTTATAACGATAATCTGGACCTTATTGCAAAGACAGTTGCCGACTTTCGAACTCAGCGACCTAGCATGATACAAAATTTGAGCCAGTTTGTCTTATGCTATGAAAGTGTATTAGAGTGGATGGTCGTTCAAATGGACGAAGGATGTGAAAATCCTTGACTCAAGCGCTTTCCATTGCTATAACTAGCATCTGCAACAAGCATTGAAGCTACCTGGCTCTACGGGTGACGAGAGAGAGATATCTCCAATTCTGTTACACATGTTCTATTATATACGCTACTTGGATCTTAGAAAGTTATATCTGATGCAGTGCAAGCAGAAGAACATATTTTCGTCTGGATTCTTTTCCCGTTTCCATAAACTCGATTACCGGTCGTTCTCAGGCAGAGAATGGGTTGGCTTGCATATATCTAGAGATATCAGCGGGGATTTGTGTGAATTGTGCTCTGTGCTAGAATCACAATGATAACTCAAGTAAAAGAAATGGACTTGATGACTTTAAGTTCTCGATAGACAAATAAGGCTCCATCACGCCCATTTATTGCACGTATCACTGCTAGATATGTTCCTCAGGGCTCTGGTGCCTAAAGTTCTGCCTGAGGACGACAACGTATGGTATTCTGAAAAGATTCGCAAACAGGCAACAATGGCGGGCGGTGATACTTAGAACTATGCGATCACGGCTGCCCCCACTCAGAGCCTCTCATTTTCCGAGACCTATAAATGATATGGCAGTGATGCAAGGCTGATGAACTATGATTTCGTTTCCTACGAGACAATTGCTAGCAGCTTCCTCCAACTTCTGTTACAGTTGTTCCATCTAAACACCAGCCAAGCTCTGAGCCATGTTGCTCGATCTTCCACCGGAGCTAATCCAGCTCATCCTTCAAAGTTCGACTACGCCTTCCTTTCTACAGGTGGCTTTATCCTGTCGAGCCCTGCATGATATTGCATCCAGTAGCCGGGAAGTGATTTTGCATCATCTGCATGAAACACCCGGCTTGAAGGTAGACACACGCTGTCTCAAGACCAGGCAACTTTTTAAGCTCCTCATGGAACGCTCGTTCCAGCAGCTATATGGTGCACAGTTTTCCGCAGAATGTACAACATTCTATTTTGAACATTTCGCGCTCGATGCCCGAGCATCTTCGCTAGCTTCTCATGGTGACCGAGACATCGCTCTCGTTCTGAAAGGTCGGCAGGATGTTTATGTTTTCCAGGCCAAGGACGGGAAGTTGCACCTGAAGGCCCAGCTGAGACCACCTGAGGATCAGCCAGGAAGGATAGAGGTGCTCAAAACAGCATTTGACAGAGAAGGAGGCGTTAACGTTCTTCATCGTCTGGTACCAGCGATAGACGAAGACGGTTTTGGCGCCACACACCCGTTCGTGAGACATGCGATACGGTCTGGTCCTCGTGTCAGTGTCTATATGGCGCGTCACTCGCTTCAGACACTCAATGAGCCCATTCGCGTGTGTGCCTTTCCAGACCATGCGGAGTATGAACCTTTGGCTCTTGCTGCTGCTGGAGAGAGCACCTTTGCAATCTCTTGGCAGCACTTCCGTGAAAGCGACGATTATGAGGTTGTTCTGTACAACTCCCCAAAACAGTCAAGCAGCAACACTCCTGGAGTAATTGGTACGTTACGCTCCTCTGCTGTCCAGGTTCACCCGGTGCTCTAAATATAAGGACAGTCTTGTCATTGGGCATCATCTGATGCAAGTATAGATTGCAGTTATAATGCTACCACACTTATCGACGGGAATAGACAACGACAGAGTAGCAACAGGTATCGTCAAGAGGGTCTGTCCGGCCCTTATGATAATGGTCCTGCCATCGACATTTCCTTCAATGACAGATCAAGCCAGTTGCTCTATTATCACCGCGCTCAAACGTTATATGGTTCCTTTCAGAGAATTCAGAGTATAAATGCGCACCCCCTCGTGGACCCACAGCCAACTCTACATCAGAATGCGTGCATGGTGCAATTCTCGGACACTTTGAGCCTTCTCTTTTCGATTGCGATACCCTTCTTCGGTACACATGCGAGGCGGAATGAGAATAATATTGAAATGTGCCATTGGCAGTACCTTGCCTTCGGTATAGCGACCCATCGGAAGGAGAACTGGACCGTCGCGTGCCTATTGAAATCCGAAGCTCGATGCCAAGCTCAGAACTGTGGGCATGTCTTGAACCTCGACCGTGGGCGACGGTTCTCGCAATGGACAATAGTAGCTCGACTATGGGGATTCCAGAATCCCACAAATTCTCTTGGTTGTAAAATTGCCGCGTCGGATCGTGGTACTCGCCTTGCTGTCGCAAATTGGAATGTGATTTATGTGTGGGCTCTTGAGCCAAATGCACTCATTGAAGAAAATGCGAATGGATTTTACCCTACATCCTTTCAATCAACAAGTTCCGGGATAATCGAGCTACGACCGATTGTTCTCCCGCTGGATGCCGTGTGCTTCAAGCTCGGCTTCACGCATCAAGAAAATGAACTGATAGCTATTACTGATCGGGGCGTGATGTGCTGGGACCTTGGCCCGTTGGGTAAAGGGCAGAGAATCACTCAACGGCTGACTTTCTAAGAGGGTAGAAGATTGAAGTGACGGAATAGGCGGAGGCCTGAAATTTCGTTTGCTGATGAACATGCGAGGAACGTGACTTGATACCCCAGGATTTTTCTTTTAAAGAACCATATATATTTTGTGGCTAGTTGCCTTTAGAACGAGATGGTTATGAGCGTGGAAATCAGGACTAACAGACACCCACGGAATCGTCTCTCATCCTTCTTCATTTCCCTGATCTGGCGTGTCCCATCTTCCCACGGCTAACTTAAAGCCTGCATTTTAATCTCATCGACGCCGTCCTGTTTTTTGGATCTATTTGAAAGACCTCCCTCGTTTCATCCGATGTTCTTAGCCCTGTGAGCTCGTAACTTGACTATTTGTGTCATTGACTCTCTCTTTTCTCAGTCAAACCAGCCATCCCCCTCAATGGTCGACTTCAATTCAGATTACGAGGTCGGTTCTGTAATACCCAAGAAGCGATGTACTGGCTTGGAGTCAATCAAGGCAATACAACAGACCATCAAGGAAGACAGAATCCGTTCGAAAGAGCGGTTCCTATCACTAGGACTAATAGCCGCGTCTCCCAAAACCCAGACGTTAATTGACATATAGGAAAGTCGATTTGATGCATATAGAGAGATGACCAATCCAGAGTGAGTTACTGTCTTAAATGGCAAATATTCTGGTTTCTCACCATCACTAACAGTATCTGACTTAGAACACAGATATCCTGTCGAGCCCACTGACAGCCGAAGATTTCGTACGTCTTATAGAAACAATCGTCACAAAATTAAAGCCAAACCACAGCTACACTGCCACGGTCAATGTTCGGAGTACCCGTTATGGAATCTCGCATGTCTTCTCTGCCGTGCAGTTTAGGCATTCAACTAACCGGACCAACAGACATGTTGCTCTGCACATTGACTCTTGTCTCAACAGACTCGTGTTAGAAGGTGTTCTTCTTAAGGGGCATACAAAGCCCCGACGTGAGCAGGCCACTACATTGTCCGAAGATGGCAGCTGCATGGCTTGACCATGCTTTGACCCGTGGGACCCTCTCTTGGGATCAACCTCACGAGGGTTGTCCTTCAGAGCGCTATTGGGTGTCGACGTGGTTCGTCTAACCTTCTCTATTTTCCGAGTCACATCATTATAATACATACATTGACGTCTGAGTTCAAATAGGCGACTTCATCCGCGACCAGTATGACAAGAATGCCTACCTGATATGGAGTGACATACAGCTCACTGTCAGAGGCTTGACTAACCCTGATAGTATAATCAACGATGTCTTTGGATCAATCATCCTCTGGTTTACTAAGAATCAGAAGTAAGTATAGCCTTGCTCATACGGTCTACCGTACTGACGGATCCTGGTTAGGGGTACCACAAATGACAACAAACAAATGTCATTTTCCGTTGATTAGTGTAAGAAAAAGTAGAGAACGTTTGGCATGGGATAACAGTACGGTGCTGGGATGGTCAGATACACATTGGACGCTGGTCTACAGCAGGCGAGTCCCTGCCACTCGATATCTTTACCGATTTTCACCTCCGTGGCGTTTTCAAAGTAACCACTCGCCGCGATAAGAATGAGACAATACTCAGCATGAAAGGTGTTTGGGATAGAATAAAGAATAATCAACACATGGATGCGTCGAGAATGAGGCATCCGGGTCTAAACGTTAAAAGGAGGAACAGCAATTCTCCGCGCCGGCCGGGGCCTCCTTGGATGCCCGAGAGCCTGATTGGGAAGAGAGGCCTAGACAGAAAACCTCGAGCGTGCGGATCTGCGTGATCTGCGTCGTACGACTTGAAGACACTACGCCTCCTGTTCACAAAAGCCATAGATGGAGGACTGACAGATATACGGACGGATAAAATATGAAATTCATTGTCCTTCAGCACTACCTGACATGGCCAAAAATGTAATAATGAGGAAGACCCACCAATATCTAAGCAGATGCGAGGTATTGTCAGAATAGGGCCTTTCTTTTGCCGACAGGAGACGCCACAGAAGAATGCGAGGGAGGAGACCGAGCACTTACTTCTGGAAAAAGGTCTTCTCAACGACCTCTTCTGGATTCTTCCCATCTGGGCCGACAACAACAGGCCGATTGAGATGCGGACGCGGACCGTCTTCGCTGGATAGGAGTTCTATGATCAAGCCCGCTGAGCTGGATGTTGCCGCAGATGATGAAGAGGCCGCCAATGAAACGTGGTAGACCTCGCCCGAGGGTCCAAGATGAAGTCGCAGAGTTGGCTTTTGATCCTCACTCTCTGCAAGCAAAGAGAGGGACGTAAGAGAGCCTACCCATTGTTTTGGGTTGTTTGGTGTGGAGGTGAAGAGACCCACGCGGACGAGGTCTTGGGCATCCGCTTCTAAATCACGGCGGCCTTCAAGGTGAGCAATCCTTGGCGGAGAATAGGCCACCACATCTGACGTTAAAGACGCAGGATCGTACGAGACGCGGGCGAGTACCGAGGGTTGAGACGAGGCTACCGGCCAATACAGGATGTCCGCTGACCCAGCTTGAGCGGAGGACGGAGATGCGGCGAAAGCCCGAGAGGAGAATAGGGAAAGGAATGGGAGGATGACCTGAGAGAAGTGCATATTGGAGGATGGCGGTAAGGTAAGGGGAGGAATATGAAAATGCTGGTCGGATTTGCAGGGAAAACAGAGAAGATTGAGGTGAAACAGATCTATTTAACGCATCATTCGGAGGGTGCACCGAGGAGGATTCCCCTAATTCAGACCAGCATAAAATCAGCATCGAGCGTAATAAATCAAGTAGGGAAGGGATCTAATGATGCGAAATTCTAGCCCCATGCATACTCACTATAAAATCTGAAAAACCAGTATGCGAATCAGTGCTCCTATTCCCGAGCAATGGGTAGTTGGCGGTGTTCACTAGGGGAGTTATGGGATGTCGTTAACTTCGCATATGTTTTAAGGTACCCTAGGTATTTTAGCGTTCTAGAGGTGCCAACCTTGATAAGGCGGGGCCACATGTCTGGTAGTTGGTACTAAGCTAGCACCTACTAGCTAAAATGGTCACAATCAGTCTGAATGCTACTCCAAGTAATTTTTTGGAATCGTATTTTTGCAAATATAGAGAGGTATGCCATGCATATTATTATTGAGGGGAAATATAATCATAATCATGATGAAAATAATAATAATACCCTATCTACTACGTACTCTCCAGGTATCAATAATTACAGCCTACCCGTGGAGTTATCAGCATTGAATATATATATATATATACATGCGCCATCGAAGGACGCATATACCTATCTTGCTCGTGGCATAAAGAAGTCAATCTGCCATCGTTATTTCTAGATAATTTCTTCCGTTTCATGGAAAAGGATCGCAGTTGATATTAATTGGCGAAAGGTTAATGATTTAAGGATCGGTGTTTGCTTCTCTCTCCCCCTGCTCAGCTTCCGCGCTCCTAGTAAAAAGCGTTCGAAGCATCCATACTTCTACTGGTATAGATACGTGCTTAGGTGGCTCAGAGGGGGTAAAGCGAATGATCGATGTACCCCACTACCCCGTCCTGATCAACAAACAACCCCAACGCGGAGCTCAGCCTTCCGCAACACTCTAGTTAGATATATCATATAGCTCAGCCGGGCCTGACAGCTTGGGCAGGCAACCTCCCAAAATCGTAACCTGGCTACGGGTTGCTTATGTCTTCTGGTAACACTCCACCCAGTATGGCTTCGCTGCCGTTTCGTTCGTCTAGGCAGCCTTCCCGGCAGCCTTCTCGACAGGCTTCAATGGACACTCGGGACGACATTCAGATCCACCAGGATCATTACATTGGAATAGATGTTGGTACTGGTAGTGCCCGCGCTTGTATTATTGATGCGAAAGGCAACATTGTTGGATTAGCTTCCGAGAATATTGGTCTCTGGCAGCCCCAACAGGGATACTATGTACGTACGTCCGATTGGGCTTCTTCCGTCTTCGTGACTGTTGCCTGACAATTCATCAAAGGAACAATCCACGAACGATATCTGGCGATGTATATGCCTGTCTGTTCAGCGCGCTATCAGCCAGCATAACATCGACCCAACTACTATCCGCGGCATTGGGTTCGACGCGACATGCTCGCTGGCCGTATTCTCCACGGTTACAGACGAGCCCGTATCCGTCACCGGGCCGAACTTCGATTCTGACCGCAATGTGATTCTTTGGCTGGACCATCGGCCGGTGGAAGAGACGGAAAAGATCAATGCTACCAAGCACAACTTGCTGCGATATGTCGGAGGAAAGATGTCGATCGAGATGGAAATTCCCAAGGTTCTGTGGTTAAAGAACAATATGCCGAAGGAGCTATTTGACCAGTGCAAATTCTACGACTTGGCCGACGCTCTGACGCATATTGCTACCGGTAATGAAAAGCGAAGCTTCTGTAGCGTGGTCTGCAAGCAAGGATACGTGCCCGTTGGTGTCGACGGAAGTGTGAAGGGTTGGCAGGAGGATTTCCTCACCGAAATTGGTCTGGAGGATCTTATGGAGGGCAATTTCAAGCGCATGGGGGGTGTTGACGGGGTGGTGAGCCTTTTCGTTTCTCTCATCTTATCCCAATCTACTTTCAGCGTTCTTGAAGGCTGACTCGTTTCAGAATGGTGATTACCTCAGCGCGGGCGAATTAGTCGGAACATTGTGCGAAAAAGCAGCGTCCGAGCTGGGGCTGCCGCCTGGTATCGCCATCGGCAGTGGTGTTATCGATGCATACGCTGGTTGGATAGGCACCGTTGGCGCCAAAGTCGATTTAGAGGACGAACAGCTGAGCTCTGAAGTTGCCAAGAACGACAAGGCACAGGCTTTCTCACGCTTGGCTGCTGTTGCGGGCACCTCAACTTGCCATATCGCTATGTCGCCGAACCCTGTATTTGTTCCTGGCGTCTGGGGACCGTACCGTGACACAATCCAGCCTGGGTATTGGATGGCGGAAGGTGGACAGTCTGCCACGGGTGAGTTGCTCAAGTATGTGATCGAGACTCACCCAGCCTTCAACCAGGCGATCTCAATTGCCGAGTCGTACAATACCAATATCTACGAATATTTGAACGAACATTTGAAGGAGATGGCTCAGGAACAGAAGGCCCCCAGCGTCTCGTACCTGGGTCGCCATGTGTTCTTCTATGGTGATCTCTGGGGTAACCGGTCGCCCATCGCAGACCCCAACATGAAGGGTTCTATTGTCGGCATGGCCAATGACAAAACTGTCGACGGCCTTGCGATCTATTACTATGCAACCCTTGAGTTCATTGCACTCCAAACGAGGCAGATCGTCGAGACGATGAATAAAGCCGGTCATAGCATCACATCCATCTTCATGTCCGGATCTCAGTGCCAGAATGACATTCTAGTACGGCTCATTGCATCAGCCTGCGACATGCCAGTCCTTATCCCTCGTTATATTCATGCTGCAGTTTGCCATGGTGCAGCAATGCTGGGAGCCAAGGCCGCGAGTGCCGACGCCGAAGGCAAAACAGAAGACCTGTGGGAGATCATGGATCGTATGAGTAAGCCAGGAAAGAAGGTCGTGCCGACAGAAGACGAGAATGAAAAAGCTTTGCTCAACGTCAAGTATAAGGTCTTCCTAGAACAGTGCTACAAGCAACTCGAATATCGAAGGTTGGTTGATGAAACCGTGAGCTCGTGGAAGACTGGTGACACATGACTTTGAGCTCTCGTTTCGAGAAACTCTTCTTGCTGGGACGAGTCTTGGGTAGTTGCGAAGATCCTTTCTTTTTATTTCCCCTTTTCGGTTTAAATGTTCTGCTCGCACAACGTCATTAGAGGCAAAACAATCCATCACATGAACAATACAGCTGAAGGATCTAATCTGTAGATGATTGAGACTTGCGCCTACGCTGACTAGCCCTAGAAGTGAATGGCCAACAGGCAGTTCTCCGAGATGTGGATTCCTGCTCAGCACCAGCAGAGTTGCTCTTCATTGTATCACTAGGTTGGACAAAACCAGTATCCGACAGCATTTTTAATCATATTCTAATAGCCGAAGGCCAAAAGCAGATACGGTATGCATTCACCACGGCACAGTATAACTGTACGCCACTTTAAAGCATAGCTGGTATATCAAGTCTGCGCTATCCTTGGAACCACCTCCTACCAAGGCTCAAAATAAAACCACAAGTCTCATACACATTAATTAGAAAGCCATGCCGCGTGTCGGCCGACCAATCGTGCGGAAGTTCTCGGACCTGATGGGCCCAAGAGCCAGCGTGTCGAAGCGATCGACACCCATCGTGTCAACATTACTGTAGCCGGCCAAGTAGAACCCGATAACCACCACCAGGTAGGTGAGTACGAGAATCGAGCCCTTGAAATAATTGCTTTTCCCTTCCCCATACACGTAGGACAGGAGGAATACGCAGAGTATAACAGATACCATATCCCATTGGGGGAAGATGAGGCTGTAATCATCGTGTTAGTTCTTTTTCTTCAAGCAATCTATGCGGCCAGATTGCACTGCTTACTTGAAGGAATGCGTCAAAAGATCCGAGGGGTCGAGGATACGGCTGTAGAGTGCACTGAAGAGGACCAGCGCGGGAATCTGCAGCAGACAGACTTGCAGTGCGTAGGCCGAACCGATTTCCATCGACAACGCAATGTTACCGTTCATCGCGAAGGAAATAGCGTTCTGTTCAGGCGTGAGATTCATGGTTCTGCAGGTATTGATAGAATTGGGCTTACCAGAAATTCCGTAGTATTGGGGACCAGCGCGAAGAGGGTGATTCCAAGGAATTTCTCGTCTATGTCAACGCTCTCGAGGACGACATCCACTGTGTTCACGAGAATCTCGGCTATGATGGCGTACAGTATTGTGGCCACGAGGAGAATGATCGAGCTCTTAGCTTTGCTCCAGTTTGGCGCATCATGACCGCCGCTAGCATGTGTGTGCTCAATCCCGACATCTTCTTGGTCCTCCAGAACGGACTTTGAAAGATCACCTGTGGTCTTATTACCGTGACGTGCAGTGCCCTGCTGGACGGATGGCTTGCGTGTCCGAGCAACATCACGAGCAGCAACCGCGGCCGCTGTCGCTGCGACTTCGGTCACCTGGCGCACCAAATCTTCGTTCTCTCCTCCAGTGTATCCTCGGAAGCCTTTGAAGCTAGAATAACCGTCCTCACCCTCCGTTCGTGGGGGGACGAGATATGGCATCGCGCCTTTATCTCGAGCCGAGCTGGACTCGGGCTGGTGTGGAGCGTCTTCATTAGCATTTTCGGACAAGCCAACCTGCTTCAAGGACTGTCCTAAGATCCTCTTATAGAGCTGTGAGTCGCGAATCGAGCCTTTAGCGTTGCCGCCGGTGGCATTTGCAGTTCCAGCAGGGAATAGCAGATGTCTGGGTTCATAGGCCGATTGCTCCTGCTGGAGGGCTGCGGCCTTCTTTTCTTCGGCTTCCGTGGCCCAGATGAGGGCAGCATGGGTCCTGAGTGTGAACCACAACCCAATTATATATGATAAGAATAGAAACAGAGCGGCAAACCATGAATAAGGCTGAACTACTTTTCGGAAGAAATTGTCGTCCACAGCTGGAACCTGGGCAAAGTAACAGCGGCGGCAATCTTTGATGCCCGAGTCCGTAGCCTCAGCGCACGAGTAACAGTTCAGTTCGTGCTAAGCAAACCGGTCATTAGCAGGAACCGACAATGAGAGAATTGGAAAACATACACTGCCGTATATCTGATAGAACAGCGTTGGACCAAATGCAGCGATCACGGCGAACATCAACATGGTCGATGTAACTCCGGCAGATTTGACGTTGAATCGCTGCGTCTTGCGTCTGATAGCGCCGAAGCACATGGACAGCCCAGGGAGAAACAGTATACCCGCAAAAATACTACCAATGATACTGCCCTCGACGAGCTGCCCTTTGCCTTCTGTCAGCGCGACACAGTAAAGGTAAACTTCAACGACAGTCGAGAAGAAAGCGTTGACGGCGGCACCCATTCCCATTGATGATTGTGCAGAGATGGACGCAACGGCCTGCCCGATGAAGTAGGCGAGAGGTATAATGGAGACCAGTGCGAGAGTGAAAATGAAGCCAGGATGTGTCATCCAGTTATGCAGACCCAGCGTTTCAGCTAAGAGGAAGTAGTCGAAGATGACAAACAGCACGACACCAAGGAGATTGATGAGAAAGATATTGGTACCATCCACCGTATACTTCCAGTAGCTCAGCCCAGCCGCACGGTAAGTGCATAGGAGTATTGATGAGGGGGAGCCGGGACTCAGGCGAGTATAGGATGTATCAGAATGGAAGGATAAGGCCAGCGGGTGACGACGAAGATGGTCAAATAGAATGAGAGTCACGCGTCCCATGGGGATCCAGAATACAAGCAACCAGCATACCATGGACACAAATAGCATCAAAGGGCCAATCAGAAAGTAAAAGAAGACGAAGAATACGACACGTCCTAATGTCCATTCTCCGCGGCCGAACAAGCGGCGTTTCGAGTGCAGATTGCTTTCACGGGGAGAGATCCTTTGCGTTCTGCCCAGCAGACTGTCCTGTTCGCTCACAGAGTCAATGCTATTGCGACGCCTACCCACGAGAGACCGGTTGCTACGGGGGCCAAAGAAGAGCCTGCCGTGCTCGAGATCACCGTTCTGCCATTGCTCATACTCGCTAATGCTGCGGCCTTCGCCCTCATCTTCCTCCGCGTAGTGTTCGTCGGTCTCCAGGCGAACAAAAGACCCGAATGGATAGAGGAGGTACCATGAAAGACCCGAGAAGACTTTTCCGTACTCCACTGCGCTAGGAGAATATGCAAATATGAAACATGCGATGGCACCGAAGAGCGCAGCAAGAGCGAGCCACCACCCGAAGAAAGCCGTCCAGAGCAGATTGGCCAAGAAGAGTATATTTCCTACTCGGCCGCCGGGAGACGAATGAATATCACCCTCAGCGGTCTTTTCCACGGAACGACTCTTCTTGTAGAGAGCAGGCTTCCATAGTCTGATACCGAATGGGTGCGTTTCATTGATGGCCTGTTGACGATCTTTCAGGGTGAAGCTCTCTGCATCACTCGTCTCATCGTCGCCGCCATCACCGTGATTGATCCCATGATGAGAGCTGGCTTCCGACTGCTGCGACGGCGGTCGCGTTCCTATAGCTTCCATGCCGGACTCCGGTAATAATGAATCCTCCCCGCTGTCATTGTCAGAGTCCGCTCGTGCCAACGGACTGGGCCGAGCGTTCAACCTGCGCCTCAGTGTCGAGCTCTGTTTCCTCAATGGTCGCAGTCTCGGCGAAGGCTGAGGGTTTGAGCCCTGTTGTTGCATGGCTTTATCCTCCTCGACCTCCTGGACATCATCATCTGTGGAAAACTCCTGGCCCTTATGCGGGACCTGTCGCCTCGAAGATATCCGACGCGTTACAGGTGGCTTTCTCGGCCTATCTGACGGCAACGCTGCCACAGGTGGTGATTGGGAAGAAGGTATGCGACTGGAGTTGTCGGCCTGGCCTTCATTCGGCAATGTGTCGAAGTCCGTCAAATCAGCAGGGCTTATAGTTCCTAGAGACAACGCATGATAAGAAATAATAAGCAGATTTATTCTCTCTAAGGTTACAGGACACGCAAACACACCGTAGCTTCTCCTACTGCTCGCCATAGGTCTGGTCGGACGAATGGTATCAGACGATGTTGATCCAGTGCTTACGGTCGAGCTCAAACGCGATGTCGCTTCAGCTTGGGAGAAATGAGAGATATCTGGGACTCTCTGGCTGCTATCCATTGCTTCTCTCTGTGCTCGACTCTTTCCATTCGATTCTCGCGATCAGAGTTTATCAGGAGGCTGGGGATGGAGTACTAGGGATCAAAGATAATGCGGAAAAGAAAAGCGAATCTAAGAACAAAATCAGAAACCGCAAGAAGTGGCCTGCACTTAAAATAATAAAAAGTCAGATTCTCGAGATGATCCAAAACACATTGTGTATTGCAGCAGTGGGCATTCGCAGATGCCTGACAAGCTGTGTCGAAGAAAACACAGGTAGGAGCCTGAAAGTGGAATAATGGGTAGATACTGGATCGCGGCCGAAAGATCTACTACACAAAACACCTTACTAGTACTAGTACGAGAGGTGGTAGTCTAAAGAGATCAGGAGATAACATCATCTCACTGTAGCCCCGCCGCAGTCAGCTGGGAGGAGGAATGAGCTGACAGAGTGGTCCTGTGAGGTGATGTACTTTGTGTGTGAATATAGATGTTTCCCGGCTCGATATAGGTCCCATGATTCGAGTTGTTTTGACTCTCCATTCGGTTGGTGTCAGCCTGTCAGTTTAAGTACTTGGGTCTTTAACAGCTTGGGTATCCACCTTTTGTCCTCAGACATGAAGGACCGGGCCATTCGGTGGATGAATGACCGCATCATCTGTGGTCCAGCATTAGTCCGTGCAACCGGACCTTACTTTTCCCGATATTTGGAGGACACCGCCACACTCACACATCAGAAGTGCGGCTGCCAGAAAGTGGCTGGTGCTCCTATTGCTGATATCAGCTAGGTATCTGCCTACCAACTAGGTACAGCTCACCTTCTCCTACTTGCTAGCTGCTTCCAGGACAATTTTCTCCGCCCATCCATCCATAACTCCTCTAATTCTTGTCCATCTTCTCGCATCGGGGCTCTTGATCTTTGGCATACTTTGTTGTCTCTTGCTTTTGAATTGGTAAATTCTCCGAAGTATCGGTCGTTGTGTGGTCAGCAGCTTGTGGATCAAGAGGAGCGTCATCGACCGACATCCGCCATGGCGCTGGACAACTACTATCGCAACAAGATCGAGAGCATGAAGCTCGAGATTATCCAAGGCCAGGCTGTTTTACGTCGACTTGAAGCACAGCGCAACGACTATAATTCGCGAGTTCGTCTACTACGAGAGGAGTTGGGCTTGCTTCAACAACCTGGTTCTTATGTGGGAGAGGTCGTGAAGGTGATGAGCACCAAGAAGGTTCTCGTCAAGGTACATCCAGAAGGAAAATATGGTACGTTTTAGGCCCCTCGCCTTTGCCTCGAGCTGTTGATTGAGGTCACCTGGGTGAAATGCTAACTTTGAATGTGGTGCTGTAGTCGTCGACATTGCAGACGGGGTCGATATTACGAAACTTACCGTAGGCAAGCGTGTCGCGTTGCTCTCCGACTCTTATAAATTAGAGAAGATGTTGCCATCATCCGTCGACCCGCTCGTTTCGCTTATGATGGTCGAGAAGGTGCCTGACAGCACATATGATATGATTGGAGGCCTTGATCAACAAATCAAGGAGATCAAGGAAGTCATTGAGCTTGGTCTCAAGCACCCAGAATTGTTCGAGTCTCTTGGTATTGCGCAGCCCAAAGGTGTTCTTCTTTACGGGCCGCCCGGAACCGGTAAAACACTGCTGGCCCGAGCGGTAGCCCATCACACAGATTGCCGATTCATCAGGGTCAGCGGGTCGGAACTCGTTCAGAAATACATTGGTGAGGGTAGTCGCATGGTGCGCGAGCTGTTTGTCATGGCTCGAGAACACGCACCAAGCATTATCTTCATGGACGAGATTGACAGTATCGGTTCCAGCCGTATAGACTCGGCGGGCTCTGGGGATTCGGAAGTGCAGCGTACAATGTTGGAGCTGCTTAATCAGTTGGATGGGTTTGAGCCCACAAAAAACATAAAAATCATCATGGCTACAAACCGACTTGATATCCTGGATCCTGCTTTGTTGCGGCCCGGAAGAATTGACCGGAAGATTGAGTTTCCACCGCCATCGTAAGTTACAACCCTTCTTTTGTCCAACCTCTTTTTGTCTACGAAACTTTATGTTTGTGACTTACTGATTCATTTCTTCTCGATGATAGGGTGGAAGCTCGTGCTGATATTCTACGCATTCACTCACGGTCGATGAACCTGACGCGAGGCATCAACTTGACGAAGATTGCGGAGAAGATGAATGGATGCTCGGGAGCAGAACTGAAGGGTGTGTGCACCGAGGCAGGCATGTACGCGCTTCGGGAACGGCGAGTGCACGTCACACAAGAAGATTTTGACCTGGCCACTGCCAAGATTCTCAACAAACACGATGATAAGGAGGTTGCTGTCTCCAAACTGTTCAAGTAGAGGGCGCTAGAGTTCTCGGAAAGAGAGGGAGGAGCAGAAGCGGTTTAACCGCTGAAGCGCAACACTCTGGCGACGGGCGACGGACGACATGTAACAATAGTTCTACTTTCAGCATGATCCACACCATTACTTTACGTCCCCCGGCGAATACATGGCATTTGCTACTTCACGATGACTTGGGGTTTGCTCCATGTATATGGCCAGCTGCCCAGACAAAGGCGCGATTGAAGTGCATAACATTGCACCAAGTCTGCGATCCGAGGTTGTACCTAGCCTGTAGATGACGTCGATTGAACATCTAGCGGGCGGATGTTGGGTTCTCATGCTCCCTGCTGTGTCAGTCTCGACGTAGCACCCGGCCAAAAGGGTTGAGGTCGATTTGTAACATTCCTACATCGACACGTCGTACATAGTGGTAGGTCGCACGGTAGTTCTTGGCGAGAAAGACGGTCCATATTCCGCCATACCTTGCGCATTCTTAAATAGATCGACGGAACATATTGTACAATCTACCAAAATCCATCCCGCAGCCAATGCGAGATTGCGAAAGCAACTAGATAGTCACTCGCCAGTCCTCGATAGACTCCTAAGATATTTTCCTGAGTGATCGATGTCTTGATCTTCGAGGTTCAGGAATGCCCAGATGTCACTATTGGGAGACTATTGACCATCCATTAATGACTTGACAGACTTGGCAAATATGGATGAAGGTATGAGGCCTACTCAGGCTCTGCCAAGCAAAGCAGCCAAGACTATCGAGGAGGATGAGGAAAGGATATTGGTATGTGGTCCAAGTAAGGTAGTAAAAGGCCTAGCCTACCACTATCGTTATCATTGCCACGGGTCTTATCTCCATCGACAATAATAACTTGATGGATCTAGCCGGTCCATAGGAATGGTGGGTAGATTTGTAGACTATCTACCGTAAGTACTCTATTACTGTGACACTGTGAGTAGCTAGATGATCTGCAAGGATCTTCGCTTGCTCGACGATCATTCTGTCTCTAGAGTAGGTACCTCTCTAGTCTTCTACCTCTCTAAATAGGTACAGGTGATTACTTGAATAGTACAGTAAGAGAAACGGCATCATGATTGTAGGTAACCCCTTCTATCTATGGGTTTGAGGCATATATAACCAAACAATGAAGTTGAGCAAGTGCTTCTGATACTAAGTGATCACTTAATCCAATACCTATGGTATAGGTAGTATCTATACAGGAAGTTGACGCGTCGTTCAAACAGACATCTTTCCTGGGGGAGTCTCTGTGGCATGCGCGTGACTAGGGGTGGGTCATCTTTCTGAAGGGTCTCGGCTTTAGTGGGGGCACTGGAGATCTGATGACCTATGCCGAAGTATTATTGTTGAAGTAAGATTACCTTACAGTCTCCAAACAAACTGCAATCCTAGACAGGAATCAGGTCATCATAATAGGTAATAGTTAATGATGTTGAGAAGAGCACAAAGACATCAATCGCTTCTTCACAGCAAAGGCTGACGGCCGCCCTTCTGGTCGACGGTTTCCTCCATCCTTAATACCCACATACGTGTCTTCTCTCTATGGCATCCTTCGTCTCGGGCGATTCGGCCTCTTCCAAGACCCGAGTACAATGGATGCCTACCTACATGATACCTACCTTAGTATGCGAATTCCGTTTATTCCACCCTTGTCCTCCAGTCCGTCCAATCCTAGGTCTCCTCGTGCGGCTGGGCTGTGCCTCCCCTTGCGCTGCTCGTTCCGCCGGGTTGGCCAAGTTAACAGAGATCAATTATCAGTCCATCCTGATTGTGGAGTCATCCACATGTGGCCAGGATCAACGAAGTCCGCACCCTTTTCCGAATACTCCCAACCAATGATAGCTTGCTTCCCTTTTTTACCCTGATCGGTTTGCCAGATCATCTGCGACTTCTCTAACACCTGTTCTAAGAGTCTTGCACTCTCGCCGTCAGATTCCCCGGCACGGATAGAGCGGACTCTGTCTACCTAGTCCCGGGTTTAGTCCCTCTCTGGCGGATGAGATTCCTCCGTAACTTAAGACTCTCCCCATTCTCCGCAGTGGGCTCACCCCTTTCGCTTTCATGGATGATGGAACTTCTTTCCATCTACTGTATCTAGATACTAGATAGAAACTGACCTATTATTGGCACAGTAATGATCAGAAATCATAATATCCCTAGGAAAAAAAGGAAAAAGAAAATAATGGACAATCATTCTTGGCTCACCTACAGATTTCATCCCGAAAAGTGAAGTGGGCTCCTATCTCTTTCTGTACAACATAATGCAATCAATAATCAAAATCCTATGTCTGTACCTCCGTGCCTAAATGATACGAGCTCTCTTAATACCGAAGCTTATAAAGGATCTTCTTCCGTCCTTTCTCTAGTAAACATAGTTCGTCCTTTACTTGCCAATCCAAGTGGCTACTCTATTATCACTTGCCTACCTATCCACTCCGTTCACTGCGCTCTTCGAGTCTTCCACCAGCCTTCTAGAAAAAAAAAAAAAAAAAAAAGAAAAAAAGCTGGCTTGTTATATGGTGGAGTCCCCCGGACTTGCTCTTTTAGTCCTTCCGTATCTCGCTACTCCGTCCTCCGTATCCTCCGGACCATACAATTAAAGGTACCTAGTGTATCTAAGGTAGTTTAAT